GTGTGTCTTCACCTGAGACTGGCGCTCCTGCAGGGGGGAGCGTTCGGGTTTTGTTGCAGCTGGAAGAGCCTCTCTCTCATGCTGATTGTCAGCTCTGGAGCCAGTCGCCACACGAAGATACAGCTGGGAGATAAAAAGCATCCGAGCATTAAATATTCAAGATTTCATTTTAGCTCGACTGTTGAGGAAACTGTCTGCAAACATATTTCCACAGTCATTTCCTCTCTCGCTGCAGCGGCGGATGGAGATGGTTTCAGTCTGGGAGCTGCTCAGCGTTTGGTCACGCTGTTTTCTAACGCAGCTACCAAAGTTATTCACATTTGAGAGCGAAAAATATCATGTTTATAGGTCTGATTTTAAATATTTGACCTACAGTCGTCCTCAAATATATTCATACCCTTATGTTAAGGAAAAGGCAAAATTCACAATAGTCACTCAAATAACTACAAACTGAAAAAAGTAATAATAAATAAAAATTTGCTAAAATATAATTTAGTGAAATAAGCATTGCTTTTGTATTATAGTTGAAAAGAATAGCTTTAAAAAAAAGAAAGAAAAAAAAACTGTCCTGGACAAATTAGAGTACTTTGCTGATGAGCAGTGGGCCAGAACACCTGTCAACAGGTGCAGAAGTCTGACTGAGAATTACAGAAAACACCTGATGGCAGTGATTGGCTCAAAGGGTTGTTCAACTAAATATTAGTTCAGGGGTCCCATCATGCTTGTTGTTATTTTAAAAATATATATTATTTATAACCACAATTCAAAAGCATTTTATTAAATTGTTATGTATTATTACTTTTGTCAATTTCAGCTTATTTCAGTGACAGCTGTTTTTTTCCTTCTTTAACGGGAGGCTCACCCGATCTCTAAGGGAGAGATAGGGTGAGAGGGAGGAGCTCGGAGTAGAGCCGCTGCTCCTCCACGTCGAAAGGAGCCAGCTGAGGTGGCTCGGGCATCTCTTTAGGATGCCTCCTGGACGCCTCCCTGGGGAGGTGTTCCAGGCACGTCCCACCGGGAGGAGGCCTCTGGGAAGACCCAGGACACGTTGGAGAGACTATGTCTCTCGACTGGCCTGGGAACGCCTGGGGGTCCCCCCGGAAGAGCTGGAGGAGGTGTGCGTGGATCGGGAAGTCTGGGCAGCTCTGCTAAGGCTGCTGCCTCCGCGACCCGACCCCGGATAAGCGGGAGAAGATGGATGGATGGATTTAACGGGAGGCTATGAATACATTTGCGGACGACTGTGAATGTTTTGTGGTTTGCTGATTTTAATGCTTTATCTCAATGAATCGCTCGACTGTTCCTCACCTGTCGCCTGAAACCGTAATCAGATGCTTGCAGTCGTTGGTAAACTTCATCCCAGTGACGATTTCTGCAAAACGAACCAATAAAAACACTCATTCGCTATGTTGTATTCCTCTGTAACGCTTCTCTGAGTGTAATTTGTACACTGCTCGGTTTAGTTTTATAAAATCTGGTGTGTTACCGGAGTGTCCGAACATGGTGGCGACGCACTCCCCCGTGTAGAAGTCAAAGATGCTGATGTTTTTATCAGAGCAGCTGGTGGCCACGTATTGACCCGAAGGATCGATCTGAACCTGCGAATACAAAACAGTGCCACAGTTCAGGAGCTGTACATACATAAATGTATTTATATAAAGGCCTTTGGAGTGTTTAGGAAAGCGTTACCCTGAGCAGACTCCCGTCCTCACTCAGAGATCCTTTGTAGATTTTTTTCTGTTTGCCGCTGCTGATGTTGAAAATCCTGCAATCAGACGAAACATTTCTTAAATTAGTTTCTTCTATGAAACACATGCTAAGTGTGTAGAGACGAGTTTGACTGGTTGGTTTGATCACATATAATCTCTGGTGTTGCTTTAATAAGGAGAAACACATCAACGGGACGAAAAACCAATATTTGAAAGAACAGGCTGCTGCGTTTTCCCGACTTTGAACTCGTTTGGTCTGATTTATTTAACATTTGCTGAACATTTTCTCGGAGTTGGCTCCAACCTAACTGGCACCGTGTCAAAGAATTTATCAATGTGGCTGCATTTTGTTCAAACAGATGGCCAAAGAAACAGCTTGAAGCCTTGAGTTTGGCATTTGGCCTTCTTGGATTTTGATGCAACCAGCCAGTGGTTGTACAGCGACACACTGGTGAGCTAAAACGTAAGCTGCTTCACTGTTTAATTTATCGCTAATGGAACCAGAATTTACAAAATGATCGCTGTGTTTCATTTAATGAGTGTTAAAATCAGTGATTGAGTCCATAAACTCATTCTGAAAATGTTTTCTGAGGCGACAAATCAAGAGAGAAGTAGGATCATTTTCTTTCATTGACTTCTACACAATCTGACGGCAGAGTTGTCGCCCCCTGCTGGCTGTTAGAAAAAAGGCAGGTTGAGTGGACTTTCGGATTGGCTTCACTTTCCGTCCATCTTTCATATACACTCTGTGATTTACAGTTTATGTTTACTGTAGGTTTAGAGCGTTTTAAAAGTCGAGTGTAAGCATCACAGCTCAACAACAACCACAGCAGGTCATTTAAAAACATCACGGTGACTTTTCTGCATTAAAATATACATATATATTAATGGACATATTGTCCCATTTATGGCATCTTGGATAGAAACGCGAATCATCTGCTTTACAACAGCCAAACCAGGAAACATCCAGCCAGTCACGGTGTTGCACTGATGCACATGTGGTGTTGTGTACATGCATAATAAGGTATAGTGTGTCAGGGGGAAAAAAATGCGTTTTAAACCTTTTCTTGAGGCAAAGTCAAAAACTTTTTATGCAGATTTTCTGAGGTTTGACCGGTGACTTCATACATGCACTGAAACTGCAGTTACGGCTCTGCAATTGTTAACCTGAGATGGTTAATAAAGTTTTTCTGATTCTGAGGTGTTACCAAGATGGATAACAAGTGGAGAGAATTTCCTATCAAGACTTNTTTCTTGTGTCCCGGTGGGGGATTATTGGGTTTTGTGGGGATTCATCTTTAATAAATCAGTTGTATCTGCACACTTGCTTGGTCTACTTTTGTTTTATGTCCTCAGACTGAAGCCTCACCGTCCAGGATGTGATCGGGGCTGGACTCCCGGCTGCCGTAGCCCAGGGAACGGGCGCTATCCGGGCTTCGGCTGTCCTGGCTCTCGCTGCGGATCCCTCGCCCTTGCATCCTGCAGCGCTGCTCCTTCACCGTGTAATCACTGATGTGGGGAGATGTGGGAGCAGCGAGGGGGCAGAAAATGAAATGCTTAACCACGGACGGAAAGCCACTTTTTGCTCATTGTGGTCGACCGTGTGCGGGGATTTACCTGCCCGGTGGGCTCGCGTCGTCCTCATTTTCCTCTGCGTACGGCGCCGCTCCGTCGGCCTCCTCCATGCCCTTGGAAGTGTTTGAGGACATCCAGTCAGCGGGCGGCCAGGCCCGATGCCTCCTGGATCTCTCCTCCAGCTGCTGCTGCTGCTGCTGCTGCACAAAATGCAGGTGACTTATTTATTACACACACATGCATCCGAGTGGGAATCTCACTCTCATCTTACTGTTTTAGAAAAGAAACCCTGAATGACAAAAATTGGCCTCGTTGGCCCTTGGTTCTTCTTCGCTGACATAAAACCAGAATTCTAAGAGTCCTTTTGTTCAAATCTAAGCTTCGTTCCTGTGTTTTCCTTTTCCATGTCTCCATGTTTCCCTCTATCAATTCCTTATGTGTGACTTGTGTTGTTCCTGTTGCCCGTTGTCTCTGTTTGCCTTCTCTTTTGAGCTGTCTTGTCTCCCCAATCAGTTCTCAGTGTATAAATAGTCTTGCCTTTCTCTCTGTCTTCACCATTTTACTTTCAAGGCTTCAGCTACCAAGTTTTTCCATTATTAAAGAATCTACTTATTGTTTTGATTGTCAGTCACTCGATCAATTGTCACAAAACAGTATACTTATAAGTCCTGCATACCGTGGGCTCCTGGACGTTGGACGTGTTCA